CGTAAAAAACACATGCCAGTAAATTCCGCGCCCAACAAGAAAGACACAAAGAGTTACCTGGCTTTCTGGAGGAGTTCCCAATGCACTGGTCCCGTAGTCATGTTGAAAGCTCCCGGATAGCAGATCATATATACGCCTGGCACCAACATAGATTTTAATACTCAGCAGCTACATGGCTAGCCTTCTTCCTACCTCGTGCTGCGTAAGTCATTGCCATCTAGCAAATACCAACACCGATTCGTCCAACATCTGAGTCAGTGAGCAATGTGAGTTATTTTGCTTGTCGTAATGCCTGCAGGACCTTACCCGAATCAACAACAGTATACTTCTGTATCTTTCCTGGTATATCGATGTCAAAAAAGTGAACCTGGTGTGAAAGAGGGCTGAGAAAAAACCGTAGACGACGCGTCAGAAAACCAAACCTTCCGATGTTTACCTTTTAGAGACAGCAAATATTGTAGAGATGATCGCCACGTCGTTCCGGTATGGAGCCACCGATGACGGTAACCTCCTTACTCTTTGGCATGTCCGAAAGCATTTTGGAAGAGGGAGAATCGCCTGCGTAGATTGGAAAGCTCGCTTTTGAGTATGGACAATTCCCCATTTCCTGGAACACATTCTCCTTATGACTGAACACTACAAAACTTAACTGGACAAAGGATGAGCTTGCTGCCGCCATCAGCAGCCGTCTGGATAGCTTCACGAGCATGCCTGATGTTCTGTTCCTTGTCTGCGCAAACCAATAGGCCTGCTCGCAGCACTGTCTGCCTCTATTTTTCTGCTGATAGATCCCCAATCAAGAACACTGGCAAAAGTCATCAACAATATGTGCTTTCCCAGCACCGTCTGCTCTTCATACGCCCCTGCTGGAAAAGATCTCGTCTCCGTAACATTGATCGGAAGATATTCCGCCAGTTCAGATGCCGAGCGTGAGGAATGGACTGGGCGGGAAACAGTAGCGAAGTGGCAGCACTTGAAGACATACAGGATCTTGTTTGCTCAACCCGATCAGACTCCGCCGACCAACCTCTCGAAAGAACCAAAAGTTGATGCAGGTTTGTACCTGTGCGGAGATCATCGAGTCTCAGCAACTTTCGATGGAGCAATTCTGTCAGGGAGACGAGCTGCTGAAGCGCTCCTTTCAGATTCCGAACTGAAAGTTCAGGGAAAGTGAAGCTAGAGTTACAAACTTGTATTGCCATACCTCCTACACATACAGAACAACACGCCCATCCTCTCCAACAGTTGCCAGCAAACGAGACGACGTTGTAGTTTTCACTTGTACGATTTTCGATTCTACATTGCACGCTTGCATAAGAGACGACTTGAAAATCAAGAATTTCATACCTTGTTCAAACATTTCAACCACTCTTTTTCCGGTGGAAAATTCCCAAAGAAAAACTCGCCCCTCGTCAGTGCCAGCAACCCCATAAGGTCCCATGACGGCTGCTGAGCATATTCTGCAATCGAATGTTATGACAAAAAAGTTCCAGTGGATTTTCATACCTGTTAGCAAGATCATTGCCAACAAACAAGGCATCATTCTCTAGCAGGGCCATTCTCCAGTGGTTCTGATGTTTCGCATCGTCCTTGACATTGGTCAGAAGACAGGCACAGCAATCGTAGTCTCGATCTCTGAAATCATCCACCAAAGAAAGATCTACGATATGAATGTCTGAAAAAGTATATCTTGAAATGTGGCATGAAGAAAGTAGCTGTTTTTTGGAGATATTCCTGTAAGATGTAAGAGAAGAGAGTGAGTTTCTTGGACGACTGCAAACCGAAGATAGAAATACCAGATTGCAAAGTAACCATCCGCGTCACATCCAAGAACAAGGTAAGGTGCTTGAGGAACGATGGCTAGCTTTAAAATGCTCCGGAAAGTCTTGTCGTTATATCTTGCAGGTGGGAGATCTGTTTCATACAGAGAATGCCTGAATAGGACGTGATTAATGCAAGGAAATACAAACATGAAAAGCGATTACCTCCAAGACGGATCCATGCGCCATTCTTTGATACAACCGTTATCTCCAGCAGCGACCAAAGAAAGAGGTCCTGTCATCAAAAGGCATCTCATTGCGGCACTCGCAAAAAGTTCGGCCTTCGGATCACGTTCAGCAAGAGAAACCACCCGCACTATATTTGACTGACTGGGAAGCTGGGGTCTATGAACAGCAAAAGTTCCCAGCAACAGAAGGCTGTCTCCGTCTGGAGTGAGTTGAATTCCAAACTCCGCTTGCTGCTGCGAAAATAATGTAAGTCAAATAGAAAGAAACACAGAACAAACCTTCAGAGAGTCTGTTCCAAAATTTTCGTAAGAATCCAGTGAAAAGGACTGTAGCAACGTCGCCTCCGATAGCAAGTTGTTGTCAAGGGAAATACGGTATACATATAGTTGTACACCGTGCTTCCCCAGAGGACCACAAGAGACGCAGATATCCACCTCCTGACTCCTTGCGTTGAGTGTCACGCAAAGAACTGAAAGTTCGTGCTCAAAAGCAGCGACGGGTTTTAGCATGTCCGAGCTAGTAAGCCGCTTGCTGATGGAACTAAAGCCGGTAAATACTCTCGACTGCATGTCCAAATCGTTGGCTACGGGATCCTTTTCATCAGCTTCCGGCACTTTGGTCCACGTATCCGTAGTCGATACTTCTTGTTCGTTGATGGACCCAGAATTGTGGCCTGAAGCATTGTTGGAAGCATGCTTTTCTTGTTCGGTCGAAGTGTTTTCTCTTCGACTGTCCGCCACGTATGCTGGATTTTCTAGATCAAGTAGCTCCACATCTCCCAGAATCTGGCACGTTTCTTCAGCTGAAGGCTCCGCTGGTAGCCTTTCAAGTGTATCCGAACCGGTGTACCGCTTGTTGTCCAAATCATCCAAAGCATTGCCTGCGGCGATCGTCGAATTCTTTTCGACAGTCTCAAGTTGCTTTACCAAGAGCTGGCTGGGCTGCGCCGCGACTTGTTCAAGCTCATTCGGGCTAGTCAGCTTGTTCGCGATTACGTCCATGGAACCAGCGCCTGTGAAAGGTATTGACTTCGGGTATAAAGCATTGTTGGGAGCTTGTTCGGCCGAAGTGTTCCTTATCCGACTGTCCGTCACGCACGCTGCATCAAGTGACATGACATGTCCATCCTGGAACTTTTCGTCAGCAGAAGGCTCCGCTGGTAGCCTTTCAAGAGTATCCGAGATAATGTACCACTTGTTCTCCGAATCAGCACAATGGTCGTCCAAAGCATTGGCCGTTGTGATCGTCGAATCCTTTTGTACAGCCTCAAAGAGCTGGCTGGGCTGCGTCGTGACTTGTTCAAGCGCGAGCTTATTGACGATGACTATGGGTGACGAGGACTCGATTAAGTTTCCGCCAACACATTGTGTGTGCTCGTCGATATTCTTTGTTTGCTGAGATGTTTCGGCGTTGTCAACTTGGTTGCTAGGTTCTTCAGCAATGGACTCCTCTCCAGCTTGACGCTCAACTGCGGTGGTAAGCTGCTTGTCGACGCGAACTCTAAGGCCAGTAGGTGCTTTCTGTTGGTTGTCAAAGATATTTGTTGTCATGGCCGTCGTGTCACCTTGCTTGATCGGGTCTTTGGCTACGGAGGTCTCCAATGCCGTGTTACCCATCCCGAAGTCTATAGGACTTTCCGCCACATCTCTTTTGGAGAGATCTTGTCTCTGTTTTCTTCTTGAACGTTTCTTCATGAGAGGGACGGCATTTGGAAGTAGCAGAGATATCATGCTGGCAAACAAGTCCGAGTTGTTTTGATTTTCTTCTGAGTTGGATCCCAGCAATGACTGCTGACTGGTGCCGATTGTCACTGGTGAAAGAAAAAATGAGATTCTCACTGCATTTGATGAGGAAGCTATTTGTACTTACACTCTAGATCTGGTGAATTATGTTCTTCTCTCACGTGAAGTACCTCCAGAGTATCAGGCACAATCTTAGACTCCAGCTCGGGTTCTTCTCTCATGTGAAGTTCCTCCAGAGTATCGGGCACAATCTTCGGTTCCAGCTCGGGTTCCGAATCCGAGACATAAACATTTTCTGGACCTACTCAGTCCATAAAAGTTTATCAAAAGAAGAAAAATAGAATAAAAAACTTACAAGAATCTTCTCCACCGTGACGCTCTTGCGAGTTCTTGTCTGTTTTCAGCCGTTGAGACGACCTCACACCCTTGTCTCCTGGCCGCGGAGATAACACTCGCTTCCTATTTCCTTCCCGAATCACTGAAGTACGAAACACGTCTGGAGAACGACAGCTGGGCGAACTTTGCACATTGACTTCTGTCTCGTCTTTTTTCGATGAAGCAGAAACTAGTTCACGTAGGAGATACTGCACAACAGGATCTGCAAAGCCAAACATCTGCCCAGATAGAATTATTTTTTGCAATGGAGACAAAGACAAGAAAAGAACAATTACCTTCTCGCCATTGCCTCCAAGAGAACGAGTTCCTGGATGCTGGATTTTCATCATCGCTTCCCAAGCGGCATTCGCTGATGGACCCGTGCTTTCAATCTCCCCGCAGCGTACCTTGAAAGTTTCCATCAAGAAAAGCGCAAGAAAACCGAAAAGGCAAAAACTCACCGCAAACAAAGGCCCGAGCTTATCCGCTCGGATTTCCATCGCGTATGTCTCGCCTCCCTTCCTCGCCAGAGCTCTGTATCCCACAGGAAAAGGGTACCGCTTCTTTCCCTGCTCGCATTCTTCCCAAAATCAACAAAACAGCAGCTACATTCCAGAGAAATCCCTCACCCGAGAGCTGCTCCAGTACCTCTTCTCCCACGGGCCCTGGAAAAGCGATCCAAGGGCCTCGATCTCCACCGATTGCTGCCGCACTGCCGCCACTTTCCCCATCCTCGCCTCAGCCTAGAACCCTAACCCCGACCACAAAACTTCCCGCCAAAATAGCCCCTCCTCGCGTAGCACGCAAGCGGCCACCAGCGTCACCGCTCCAGCGGCATCAGCGGGGCACCGCCTCGGCCTCGCCCAGCCTCCCACTAGATCCTTCCCGGTTCTTCTCGAACAGCGCGTCCAGGCTTCCACACTTGGCGTGCAAGCTTGCGAGCGCGGACTCCACCGCTGGAGTGGCGATTCCTAGCTCGAGAGCGTGGTCCTTGCCGTAGATCCGCGAGAGCCGACGCTGCCGCGAGCGCGCTCACGATGGTGGCTTCGTCTGGGCGAGAGTCCATGGCGCGGTACGTGGCGATGGCGTCTTTGTAGCGGCCGTGGCGCACGTAGGTCGAGATCATCGAGTTCCAGGAGACTGCGACCTTGTCCGGGATGCGATCGAACACGAGCTTGGCATGGCTCAAGCTCCCACAGTTGGAGAAGACGTCGAGCTTGAGCGATCTGTCTGCCGCCATTCTCTCGTGGATCGCCTTCCCGGTGTCTAGATCTCCAAGCCCGGCTGCGGCGGCTAGAGCGCTTGCAAAGGTGAAGAGATCGGGGCTGCTGGAGCCATCGTGTTCCATCTCCCGGTCAGTTTCCAGAGCTTCATGCAAATGCCCCAACTGGGCGAGATCATCGCGTTCCAGGCAACGATCTTGGCCTCGCCCAGCAATTTCCTGGCCTCGCAGATCTAGCATCGCCACCGCCGTGCTTTGCACGAATCGATCGGGATAGAGCCCTCGATCCTGGGCGTCAGTGAGAAGGCGCCGGCCGTGACCAAGATCACCACGATCGCTGCAGGCAGCGAGCATAAGTGATCCCATTGGGCTTACAGGTGGATCTCTGGTAGCATTCCAGTGCGCGATCTAGATCTGTCGCCTCGGCAAATGCATTCCACGCGACTGTGTCACGAACATCCATTCTCTCAAACACCCCCGCGGCATCGCCCAAGTGTTCTCATGGATTGCTTTCGTGGTGTGGTGTGCAGGTGGTGGAATGATCTGGGAATTGGAAAGCCGCCACCAGCGCCGTGTCCATGATCAAGCGCGAGCGAGGAGCGCCGCGGCAATCCGGGCATGCGAAAGTAAATCCATCCGGCTCCTCGAACACCTCCTGGGCCTCCGCCGCTGACCTCTCTGGGCATAATCCGCGATCATTGTGTTCCAGGCCACCAGGCTCTTCCTCTCCAGCGCTCTAGCGCTGGCGATGGAGCTACCGTACGCCGTGAAAACCCTAAACGATCCGCTTTAATCATAATCATAGCCTCACCATTGTTTAGGGTTATTAGTGAGAATGAGGAAGAAAAATGGCTATGTTTCTATCCTCCTCCTTATGCTCGTTGTCTGTGCTTTGACTGTGAATGGAAGCAAGGGTATGATCTCTCTCTTCACATTTTTCTCTCATTTTCTGATTGAATTCGCAAATTCTCTTTTGCAGATAGATGGGATGAACTTCTAAGAGCGGATGCCGAACAAGCCAAAAGCACGATCCAGCGTAAGGTCGAACCTGGTGTTGATGTTATAGTGCTTCCCGAAGACAGTGCTTACACTTGTGATTTTCGCTGGGATAGAGTGAGGATTTTCAAAGATAAAAACAATAAGGTGTCCAAGGTTCCAAAGAGAGGATAGAAAGATAACTATGGCCCAAGTCCTAATATTACATAAGTGGCCTAATTATTTTAAATAAACCTATATGCACGATTTCATATATAAAGTCATTGCTATATCATTCTCTCTAATTTCAAGCTTCTAGGCAGTATGGCGGAGATTGTAGCAGCGCTGGGCGCCACCGCCGCCTCGAGGAGCATGATCCAGAAGACCCCAAATGGACTGGTGTGATGCCCGGTCTGGGATACGCGGGGATCCACGTGTTCCATATTCAACTGTCTCTCATGTACGCTGCATCAAGTGACTTGACATGTCCATCCTGGAACTTTTCGTCAGCAGTGTTGGAGATATACGCTGACATGAGAGTCTGCGTGGCATGAGTTGCCACATCACTGATCCAGGTGTAGGATAGCCACATATATGATAAAGCAGAGTGAGAGAGTCATCCACCATTGTTTTGCTTCTGCGCATCTTCTTCTTTCAAGCAAAAGGCTCCGCTGGTAGCCTTTCAAGAGTATCGAGATAATGTACCGCTTGCTCTCCAAATCAGCACAATGGTCGTCCAAAGCGTTGGCTGTTGTGATCATCGAATCCTTTTATACAGCCTCAAAGAGCTAGCTGGGCTGCATCGTGACTTGTTCAAGCTCATTCGAGTTATGACTGTTGGTGACGAGGACTTGATCAAGTTTGTGCCATCATATTGTGTGTGCTCGTCGATATTCTTTGTGTTGCTGAGATGTTTTGGCATTGTCAACTTGGTTGTTCGGCTCTTCAGCAATGGACTCCTCTCCAGCTTGAGGCTCAACTGCGGTGGTAAGCTGCTTGTCGACGCTATGTCCAAGGGCAGTAGGTGCTTTTCGTTGATTGTTAAAGATATTTGTTGTCATAGCCATCGTGTCACCTCGGTCGATCGGGTCTTTGGCTACAGAGGTCTCCAATGCGGTATTACCCATCCCAAAGCCTATAGGACTTTCCGCCACATCTCTTTTGGGGAGATCTTGTCTCCGTTTTCTTCTTGAACGTTTCTTCATGAGAGGGACTGCATTTGGAAGTAGCAGAGATATCATGCTGGCAAACAAGTCCGAGTTGTTTTGATTTTCTTCTGAGTTGGATCCCAGCAATGACTGCTGACTGCCGCCAATTGTCACTGGTAAAAGAAAAAATGAGATTCTCACTGCATTTCATGAGGAAGCTATTTGTACTTATGCTCTAGATTTGGTGAATTATGTTCTTCTTCTCTCACATGAAGTACCTGTATCAGGCACAATCTTAGACTCCAGCTCGGGTTCTTCTCTCATGTGAAGTTCCTCCAGGCACAATCTTCGGTTCCAGCTCGGGTTCCGAATAAGAGACATAAATATTTTATGGACCTACTCAGTCCAGAAAAGGTTGTCGAAAGAAGAAAAATCGAATTATAAACTTACAAGAATCTTCTGCACCGTGACGCTCTTGCGAGTTCTTGTCTGTTTCCAGTCGTTGAGACGACCCCACACCCTTGTCTCCTGGCCGCGGAGATAACACTCGCTTTCTATTTCCTTCCCAAATCACTGAAGAACGAAACAAGTCTGGAGAACGAGAGCGAACTTAACCCCGACCACAAAAATTCCCGCGCTGAGTATGCATGGCGAGGAGCACGTAAGACGCAGCGTCGCTGGGATCCAACTCCCAGGCGACATCGTCCGCGGGGCTCACCTCCTCGTGTGCGTCACCCACAGCGCGGCTCCAGCGGCATACTGCGGAGAAGTGCCTCCACACTGCTGGCGCAGCTCCACCACAAACCCGTAGTGCTCGCTCTCCACCGCCACCCCGTGCTCGCGGCCCGCGTAGAACATCCCCGCTCGAACAGCCCGGCGTGGGAGCACGATGAGAGCACCCCGACAGCGTCACTCCATTCGGGGAGATCCCCTCCAGCTCCATCCGGTGGATCAGCGCGAGAGCCTTGGGCTGCGCGCACACTGCCACCGTCCTAGAGACTAGATCCTTCTCACGGTTCTTCTCGAACAGCATCCCACACTTGGCGTGCAAGCTCGCGAGTGCGGACTCCATCGCTGGAGTGGCTCAAAAGCTCGGGTGTGGATTGTCAAAATCCGTGAGAGCCGATGGCGCCGCGAGTGCACTCATGATCGTGGCCTCGTCTGGGCGAGAGTTCATGTCGCAGTATGTAACGATGGCGTCTTTGGTTTTGAATTTTTCTTTCTATATATTGAATTTTGTGCTGGAAGGGTGTTTTTGAAAATGTCTTCCACCTGAATGAAGTTTTCTGGAAGAGAAAAGCCCCTTCATCAACTTTATTAGTGCTCTTGTTTTATTCATTCTTCTATATTTCGTATATTGTTCATATATATCTCCAGTATCATTGTTCTCAGCCCAATTTCCGGAAAAGCAAAAAAATAAAAATTAACTTCAACTATTCTTAAAAACTTGGAAGAAAATGATATATTTACCGTACTGCTGGTTTTAATAGCTATCCGGCTAAAATTTTTTTCACAATTAAATCCCTGCCAATGCCAGAAGATCTTCTTTTCACTCCACAGTGCCTTCTATTTGCCCTTGTCACCAAGACCTCCCCACTACCACAATGCTTGACAATCCAGGGATGTGCAAGCACGGCATCTAGAGTCACCCTCTTGCTCTGCTCCACAGCTAGCATTCCCTGGATGAGATCCTCTGCTTCACACGACGCAAAACCACTCAGGAATGCTCCTGCTCTCAGAAAATCAAATTCGACTCCCGCTCGATACCCTCTCAGCAGCTCGTACGCAATGACTCCCAGCCCCCACACGTCCACGGCCTCTGTGTAGCTCGCTCGTGGTCCTCGAGCTCCATCACTCTTCACTGCTACCACCTCAGGTGCCATGTACTTTGCTGTTCCACGGTACTGCCACATATCCCACTGCTTGTCCGTGGCCATGCCAAAATCTCCAATCACCACTTCGTCCACTGCAGTGGCGTTGAGCCTCTCAAAGATGTTGTGAGGCTTGAGATCGCGGTGGACGACCCCTCTCGAGTGCATCCACTTGAGTGTCTCTGCTAGCGTTTTGATAGTCTTGGCTGCTTCTTCCTCAGTCACTGCCCCACCCTGGATCAATCGCTCTGCCAAGCTAGGGCCGCAAAGTTCCATAACGATAGTCCCATAGCACCTCCCACCTTCTCTCTCCCTCACGAAATCCTCAAAGGCGACGACTCCAGGGCAGACGCGAAGCTTGGACATGAGCCGAGCTTCGTTCTCGGCGTTCCACATCGATTCAACCAATTTCCCCGCATACTTCTTGCCAGCCCTGCAACGAGCACTCAACAAACAGACTTGCCCTTGGCCGCCAGAACCCAGCTTCTCGCCCCGCCTGTACAGCTTGAGGAGCTCACCACAGTCGTCCTCCCCAAACTCGCACGCCACCATCGCTCGCCAATTTTTTGACCTAGCTTCTCCCTAACGGGTAAACATAGACGGTTGGGATCGCGTTTGATCGACGGTGACGAAGTACCCTAACCCCAATTTAAGTGCATTAGAGGCGAATTAATTAAGAATAGTCTTTATTTAAAGCTGGAATAATTCATATAGCCATGCTTCTCTACAAAATTGTTGCATTCTACGCATGGTTACTCACATCCTTTGTTTTACACGCCGTGTTGGGAGTGGGAGTTTGCCGCAGTGGCTCCTGACGGATCAATCGCCCTCAAAGCACCACCCAGCTCGCAAGGGACCAGCGGGATCAGAGAGTTCACCACGTCTCCAATCAAAGGCCTGTAGCTTGGCTCCGACTGGACGCATAGAACAGCAACAGCAGCGACCTACACACAAATCTTGCGTTAGAATCATCAAGTCAGCCAGCACTGGCAACAAACAAACCAAAACCGAAAAGAGGAAGCGCACTTACTTGGAAGAGTTGCTTCAAGTTGACAGTATCCTTGATCGCAGCATCCACAATGAGGGGAAGCCTGGTGCGGTCGGTCAGTTGCGGCGTGGCCTGCAAGTGGCAGTAGGTTGATACACAGAAAGTCTCCGCAAGAGGAAAATCTCGAGACGTCATACCCATGTCACAAGCGACTGGCACCCTGTTGGCATTGAGACGTCAATGGGTTTTCTCCCGGTGATGAGCTCCAGAAGCACAACGCCAAATGCATAGACGTCACTCTTCTCCGTGAGAATTCCTGCGTTTTCAAAGGAAGGTGAGGTGACAGCGAAAGAAAGATAAAAAAATTCACAAGGCTTGACCAGTGAGGATGTATTCTGGAGCAACGTAGCCAAATGTGCCTTGCAGTTGAAGGCTGCCGGCGCCTTCTTGTACCATCAGAGCAAGACCAAAGTCGGATAGCTGCAAGTAAACAAACAAGGCAAGAAAATGTAAACATATAGCTTCGAATTGACATGGCGACGAACCTTTGCATTGAAGTCTTCGTCTAGGAGTATATTAGAAGATTTAAAGTCCCTGTGGATGACTGGTGGATCGCAGTGATCGTGAAGGTATTCAAGTCCTCTGCACTTTACGAATAAACAAAGTCATGCCGGAAAGCGAAGTTCAAATTGGAAACCAACCTGGCTGCGTCAAGGGCAATTTTGAGGCGTAAATGCCAGGTGAGAGCAGCTCCTTGGGCAGGCCCTGGAGAAAGCCACAAAGTTAAAGGAAATGGTACGAGGAGCTCAGTCCTCTCACCTTGAAGCTGGTCCTGCAGTGAACCATTTGTCATCAACTCATAAATGAGAAGTCGGTCTTCTCCTTGCGAGCTGAAACCAAGAAGAGCTATTAAGTTGGGATGATGAATTCGCCCCATGAGATTAATCTCGGCCTGAAAGAAAGCAAAAAGAGTCACAGCAACCATCAGAGTCGTTCGGACAAATAATGTACGATACCAACCCGGAACTCTTCGTCAGCCTGATCATTTTCGGTGGATAGT